TTCTCATATAATTTAGGTTCCTTTGGTACAAGGTTCATAAAATATTATCTTAAAAGAATCAACTTTCCTGAAAAAAGAAATCCCACAGTCAACTCCATGAGTCATTTGTTTACAAGGGCAAACAGCTGATAGGCTAGCTCCTTCACCACTTATGTTTAAACGTCTGTCTTCAACACTTAGTAAATTAGTACTGTACAGTACAGTTGTACCCCACTTAACGCGGTCAATTGAACCCAGAGGGTCCCGCGTTAAGTGAAATCCGCGTTAAGTGAACAACAGAACATATGGGATTAATTCCAATAGAAACCGGCCCGACCCCCAAACTCCACTTTTTGAAGGCACATACCTATGTTGTAGTAAAAATAACATCTTAATTTTATGATGGTACATGCACACAATTAATACTTAAGAGAAATAGAGAAATACAGTCGCCAAGTTAATGTCCATTCAAATAATGGACTCAACTCCCTCCCCCTCTCACACTACACAGCCGGCTAACAGATGGTCGGTCGGTCCCTCCCTCCCCCCCCACCCCCCACCAACCGTCCCAAGGAGATGTGTGGGATAACCTCAAACTAAAGTTAGGAAAATATAATTGACATTGCTGGATTCCTTGTAAGACCAGGAATATTTTGAATATAAATGTCATATATTTTGCACAAAAGATAACATAGTTACCTAGAGAAAATTTTTTATCTAAAAATTGTAAGTTTAAAGCAAAATATATGATGTTTATATTCAAAATGATCACCAAATTATAAGAATTCCAGCAATGTAAATTATATTCTGACCGGGTAATTTGTATGAATTTTATGAGCTAAAACAAATATCTTCAGTTAATAAAAAAAAAATAATCTTCACGACACTATCTGTCAATCAAAGTACCCCACCTTGCCTCCCCCCCTCTTCCAACCGCGCGGTCAGTCCCAACCCTCCCCCCCACCCCCCACCAATCCTCCCTTCCAGAGTTTTTAACATTTAGTATTAAATAATACCTCAGATTAAAGTTAGGATAATATAATTGACATTGCTGGATTCCTTGTAAGACCAGGAATATTTTGAATATAAATGTCATATATTTTGCACAAAAGATACCATAGTTACCTAGAGAAAAATTTTTATCTAAAAATTGTAAGTTTAAAGCAAAATCTATGATGTTTATATTCAAAATGATCACCAAATTATAAGAATTCCAGCAATGTAAATTATATTCTGACCGGGTAATTTGTATGAATTTTATGAGCTAAAACAAATATCTTCAGTTAATAAAAAAAAATAATAATTCTTCACAGGGTAACAGATGGTCGGTTGGTCCCTCCCTCCCCCCCACCCCCCACCAACCGTCCCAAGGAGATGTGTGGGATAACCACTAAATTTTAATAAATAATACCTCAAACTAAAGTTAGGATAATATAATTGACATTGCTGGATTCCTTGTAAGACCAGGAATATTTTGAATATAAATGTCATATATTTTGCACAAAAGATACCATAGTTACCTAGAGAAAAAATTTTATCTAAAAATTGTAAGTTTAAAGCAAAATATATGATGTTTATATTCAAAATGATCACCAAATTATAAGAATTCCAGCAATGTAAATTATATTCTGGCCTGGTAATTTGTATGAATTTTATGAGCTAAAACAGGCAGTCAGGCAGGGTGGCGGGTGGGGCAAATCTAAAAATAGCGTCTCGGACACTCACCGCGTATATGTGGAAAAAATCCGCGTTAAGTGAAAGTTCAGCTTTGGCAAGGCACCGCGTATATGCGAAAACGCGTTAAGTGAAACCGCGTTAGGCGGGGTAAAACTGTAGTATATTTATCATCACTTAATAAATACTATATAAGTATATTTATCATCACTTAATAAATACCATTGTAGTGTATTTATCTTCACTTAGTGAGCAATATTGTAGTGTACAGTATTATGCATTTGCATATACCCTGGTTTATTTTTTAATCAATAGTCTAATTGTACAAGTAGCCAAATTGAGCCATCATGTTTCACTCAAAGGTAGTAAGTAACGTTGTGAGGAAGATATCTTCATATCAAATACTATAGTGTGTTATAGTGACCCTGTTGTAATCTGGTTTGATGAAAGCTCTCACACAAATGCATCTTGAGTAAATATCTTCCAATACAGCCTACCCACATGCACAGTGTCTTAGGGCTCGTTAGGCCTATAGCAATGAAGTCCAATTTATCGAGGCTTATATATATTGTATGTTTATATATATATCCACTTTGTTAATTATGTGGTTTTCTTTTACATGTGCAGTTAACACCTGTAGAGAAGTATGCAATGAAGTTCCTGGAATCTTCGGATGATGGCTGGGCAGCCGAAGCAGAGCGAATGGCTGCAGAGATAGAACAGCAAAAGAAGGAATGGGAGCTTGGACGATTGCAAGCACTGAAAGAGGAGGAGGAACGGCTGGCACACAATTCAGATGAGGATCTCCTTACCTACCGATCTGCAGATGCACACAATCAGGTCAATATCAAGAAGAAGAAGGGAAGAGGTAGGGGTCGACCACCAGCCTCAGGCTCTAGAAGAGGCCGAGTGGGTCGACCACGTAAGATTCCAGTATTTAAAGAACAAGTGAAATATAGGTCATCTAATGAGAGCACAACAGATTCTGATGAAGATGTAGGTGATAGTGAGGATGATGAGCATTTATCTGACTCTGATGATATTAGCAGTAGTGATGATGGTTTCAGATCATCACAGAAAAAAATAAGTTACAACAGTGACTCTAACGTAATAGATAGAGAGGATAGTGAAACGCTACCAAATTCATGTTCCAAGTCTCCTTCATCTAGAATTATGTTTAGTAAGGTGTCTGAGGACAGTCCACGTACCAGGTCCCGGGGGCGTGTTAAAATTAATCTCTGGACACTTGACGTCAATCCTGTACTGCCCGGAGAAAGGCCAGTGCCTTTCAGCAGAAAGCAATTGGCCAACTTCCGGGATCAGGGTTTAGCCATTCCAACTTCAGATGGGTCGGATTCTCCGTCCTTGAGTGAAGACAGAAGCAGGAATAATAGTGGTCAGGCTGTGAATGGGGAGCTAGGGAGGGGGGATGGGGAGGACATGGATGTAGATGTCGTGGGGGATTCAGGAGATTCCAATACTGTTGGTGGAACACGAGTAGAAGCAGATGAAGGGAACAGTCTGGAGGATGTGGCTGGGACTCTAAACACCAATGGCCCCACCCAAATTACTGTTCAAAATGGTGGAGGATTGTGAACTTTGTTGGTTCCTACTTGGTGTTATGCTTGATTTTTACATTATAATTTATTTTTCTATTTTTCAGTATTGTAAATTTATTGGTGCTCTGAGAGTGTCATTACTGACTGGATGAAGGTTTTATCTCCTGGAAAGTTGATTAATAATGTAATAGAAGGAATTTAAGACTGTGATGCTTGTACATATTGTAAATTTCTTGTACATCACACAAATAAATGTCTGTCCCTGAATGAAGCTGATCGTTTTCTTGGTATACCAGTTGTAAGGCCCTTAAAGCTTGTTTTGGTGTCATGCTTATCCTGATTGCTTCCTTAGTGTTGATATAATGCACACATTGTGCTAGTTTGTAAGAGCAGTGTTCTTGGTCACTGCACTGTTAACCAGCCAGGTTACTATTAATAATTCACTACACTCCCATGCTTGCTTCATCTCCTATTGGTGATAAAAGAATCTGTCCGTAATGTTTCCTGACCCTATGTTTGGAATGGCAGTGGCAGTAGTGTAATTCAACTGGTTGACCCTCCTTTTGCTGGCACCAAACTGGCTGGGCCTTGCCATACCAAACTGGTCTTTACCAAGAACTCACCAGCCTCAGGGTATGCATGGCAACCAATTCATACAAGTATAAAATGCAGAAAATATTCATATTGATAAGAATTTTTTTATAAGGAGGATTTAAGAAATCTTAAATCCAGCAGTAGTATTTGTGGATTGGTCATTGTGGTCTCTAATCAGATATCCCATTTCAGGGAGTATCATTACCTTTTACAGAAATATTTTGAAAACCAGAACAACTTAATGGAAGTGGATCATCTGGCTATGGCCACCCATGGAAGAAGGACTCGGAAAAATTACTCTTTTTCCAGTGGTTGTTGTCTTTGGCTATATTACAATAGCATCCCCTGGCTGGCAGTTTGCCACATATTTGTAAACTCCATACTTCAAAGGTTGCTGTTTTCATCCCCACTGTGTATACAGATGGGTTTATTATTTTTTATTTTTCTGTACATGCTTCTGTTCCGCTCAAGTTTGTTAGTAGGATTAAGCAGAAAGTTCCAGCATAGTGCAATGAAATTATGTGGGTGGCATCTTCATGTGCTTCCTTGGAGTTTCAAGCAGTCTATAGTGATTTTTGCATCAGAGGAGGTCCAGTGTGTTGTACAAGCAACTTAAACTTCCTTTCTCTCTTGAATTATTTCTATGGCTACCACTTGCCATTTCCTTTCTCCTGCAATCTGAGAACCACTGTGATTATTTCTCACTGTAAGCAAGTATTAACATCAACATTTCCTCAGTAAATGTATCTACTGTGCAGGTATTATTATTATTATTATTTTTTTTTTATTTTTTTTTTATTTTTTTTTTTTTTAAGTAATGGAGTAGTTCCCTGTCATCATACCTGGACACGACACTTTCCTTAGAAACGCAAATATACTTACGAAGTATTTATAACCTTAAAGGTTTTCATGTGTATGACCAATATAATTTTAAAAAGTTTTGTTTATTACGTGATATTGCATGTGTAAAGGTAGAGAACATAGACGTAAGAGCTGGGCCTATCTGAGCAGATTTAGTATATCTGCTTTGTATGTCTGGCAGCCACACTTCTCAGGTATCCTAAACTCGTGGATGTAACGTGTGATTTTGTTTATTTCTCATTTTTCCAGTTTTTGTTTTGTTTTATAAGAATGATTTATTCTCATAATTTTATTTATGCATAACCGTATATTATGGTGAAAGTTTTTGAGGGTATCGAAAAATTTAAAATCATCAAAACAAAGAATATATTATTCATCATGTAAAATAGAAGACATTATAGATGAATTTCCACCATTAATTTATGACTTTCAAACTATGGTCACCCAATCAAACAAAATAATAATTATAGAATAATAAAAATTTTATAAATTTCAAATGAAAAACTGCAGTTTAGTGGCTGAAGCTCAACACTACTGGCTCACACTTAATATTCTAATCCCAAAGCTGAATTTTTTTTCCTAAACTCATATATCGATCAATCAGAATACCGTCCTCTTATCAGGATTGGTGGCCACAGTCTTCCACTCTAAACATTCTTGGGCTGTTTTTACCAATCCTCTAAGGTTTTGTATCTCTTTGGGGACCTAGTTTTTAATTTCATTCATCCATCTCAGTCTCTGCCTTCCCCTGGCCCTCCTACCCTCAACTTTGTCCATTAATATTTATGTTATCCCCTCATCCCTAATTATATGACCACAGTATCTAATTTTTCTTTTTCTGTACATTTCAATTATTTTTCTTGAAGTTTTTGCTAATCTTAGTACTTCTTCATTTGTTTTCCTGTCGGTGTAGCTTATTCTTAGCATTTGCCCATAACACCACATTTCTAAGACCTCCAACCTCCTTCTGGTGTCTGCTGAGTATCCACACTTCTGACCCATGCATCACTCTGCCATATAAAGCCTTTCAGCAGCCTTTTTCTCAAATTGAAGTTAATGTCCCTTTTCATTTTTGTTTTTTTATTATTATTATTATAAGCTGTTTTTGCTTGCCCTTTTCTTGATTTCTTCCGTTCATCTACCATCACCGCTAATATAGTATAAACAAATTATTTATTATTGAAATTGCTCTCCAAACGAAATAATTCTACTGGATATTTTTAGTAAAAAGATGAAAACACATTTCAAACTTCACATAAAGATCTCCATTTAGGTGACAGCTTACAGTTGCAGCATGGTGCTGCCAGACACAGCAACAGTATCGTACTGCAATGCACAACTAGATATTGACGTTGGGTGTTTGCATTTCGTCTGTGTGCCCAGTGATTTGTATTTTCAAAAATAAAAGACAAATCCAAAAAGTTTTAAAATCTTTGTAACTTTAAAGAACCATTGTGTGGATTTTATATTCAAATAATTAGTTATTGGTTATCGCAAAGATTACATTCCTAAAAGTCATTGCAAATAACAAATTTGTGAATATTGGGACAATTTTTCCCATAAGAATTAATGTAAATAGGGGGGATGCATTCCCAGCCAGCAACTTTCACTTTTTTTTTTTTTTTTGCTCCTCATTATCTGAGGCTATTAGGGACCAGGGTCACATGTATACTGTGCAGTAGTACCAGTATGTGTGAGGAATAAATAAAAATTAAACTAATAAATAAAATAATAGAACAAATACCGCATTGCCAGTTGTCAATAGTTTCACTACATGCGGGACACTGCTCCATCCTCCTCCCACAATCTGCATGCTAACTACTATACATGTAAGAAATGTTTTTTACCTTATACTTTACTCTTTTTTTCACAATCTGTGTGAATGATTATGTCTGCATGTAACAGTAAAAAAAATTTGAAGAAGATTAAGTTCAGTAGACCCTTGCCATTCGCGAAGGATAGGTTCCAAGAAATGGTGCGAATTGGCAAAACCACGAATAGCAACTAATACTGCCTTAGTGTACGATTGTATACCAAACAACTGACCTGCCATGGCAGCACTCATTCCTGCTGTTAACTTATCTAATAATAAACTTTCTTTGTCAGGGTCATCACTGACTTCTGCCTTTTACATTTCACTCCACTGGCACTGACACTGACACTAGGCAGTCTTTTAGGGACCATTTCACTCAGAAACAGTAAAGTTTTGAGAGTACAACACAAGATGCAAGATGCTGCATGGGGTGACACGTTGTGCTGTGGGAAAAGGCCTGCAAACTTGCCACCATCGTCGAAATCTCAAATCACAAACCCGCGAATGGCAAGGATCTACTGTACTGTATATCTCGCCATAAATACAAGATGAAAAATAACAATAAGTCAGCTAACATACCTTCCCTTCCCACTATCAGCGCATTAACTCCAGCAGACGTAATATATGTTTATTCCCTTCTTTTTTTTTCACATTTTGTATGAACTATTGTGTGTGGATGTAACAGTAAAAAAAATAAATACAAATGAATAAAATTATGCATATCTACCCGATAATAACAGTAACACAGGTTGGTCTGGTAGGGGTAGAGTTTGGGAGCTGGAACTACAGGAACAATCTAACTTGTGGACTTGCCAAGTGCACACATACACACCCATGCTCTTCATATTTATTATTTTATAGCAACATATTTATTGATATACGGGTACAGTCCATATAATGCAATAAAATAACTTAAATACAAAAGAACATTAAGTAAACCTGCTTGAGTGCATGTATGAGTAAGCTTGAGTGTCTGATTGTACGACGTTTGTAATTAATTGTTAACATTTAAA